ATTGGGTTGAATAATTAGGACCTGCCATCACTGGAGCGCCAACTGTGGTCAGTCTCGTGAATTTTCAATCTATCTTGATTCCCTGCAATGTCCCTATGAGGTTAGTGTTATCTTCTAACCTCCATTAGAGATTAGGATATTGAGCTAAGGGAATTAAATTTGTGCCACTGGTCAGTCCGAGTACCAGGATTCTAACTTGTCTTTACAACTCATGCCTTTTCTCTCTGTCATACCCACCTCCTAATCCCACTTTTCAAAATGTTTATCAACATCTGAATGTCCCAGCAAGGTGAAGATGGGATGACCCCTAACCATCCAGATCTTGTTCCTCGGTGCTCTCCTTATATCCCCAGGTTTTTTTCCAGAAATTTATCAGCTGACACTGCCAAGGCTCATGCTGCTGTTCATGGGGTCGCAAAGAGCTGGACATGGCTTAGTGACTGAACAACAATAATTGCCAAGGCTAGCCAAAAGAAAAGAAAGCCATCAAATGGAAGTTCTATTGTTCATTTCTAGATGGATTTCCAGTTGCTCATTTTGATTCTTCTATGTAGAGACCTTCGACAGTCTATACTCTAAGTGACATCCAGCCTAGTCTATTTCCCACACTGGCATGCTGTTTTCTAACTTCTTTCTCTTTCTTGCACCATGGGGACTCTCTCTATGGATCTGTCATTTGAATCCCATTGAGAAAAACATCACATACTTGAAATCCCATCAACTTCCCCAAATTGTTCACAACCACAGGAGCCAAAAGGGCTCTCAGCACCATTCCCCTCCTTTTGATTCTGTGTAGCCATATGTTTTGAATGACCATGTATTGTAACAGATCTTAGGCAAAAGAGAGCTGATACAAATACAAGCATTTTGGACCACCTGGCATTCCTTTGAAAATTACTTTTGTCAAAGGAAAGCTTCAGGTTACTCTGAAATTTCACACTCTTAGCTTCTGTTCAGCAAAAGTTTAACTTACTCAGTGGGTCTTGGCGAGTCATTTCCCTCTTGGTTTTCAGAACTCCTGTTTTCCCCACAGAGAATAGGCTGTGATCATCTGTGGTTCCCAAAGGACTCATGCCCTAAAATAGATTCTGCAATTTTATTACCAAAGCATCTATTTTGCAAATCGAGCATTCTGTATTCTCTTCATACAATGCTTTGCAATACAGCATCTATCAGAAAAACCATTAAACAATACGGGCAGTGCTTATGCAATGTGGTGTAATGTCCCAGCAAGAACTAGTGATTTGTTACACACGTTATGCACCCATTGTAATAGATCTTTTGAGATTTCAAATGTGTGGAGGGCAAAAAGTCACCCATATTAGCACTAGATGAGGAATTCTTTGTAATACCAAGCCATTGCCTCATGTCTAGTGTAAAATGACTACACAATAAAAGTTTATGAAAGAAATGGTACAACTTGGGTTATAAATGTCTGTGTTTGTAATGGTTTTGATGATTTAAAAATGCTAAAATTTAGAGATTTGAAGGGAGGAGTGTTGGGAGAGGAGAAAATGTTTTCCCTATACTCTTCACATGCCTTCCTGTTTCACTTAGGGCTCTTAGTCACAAGCAACAGAAACTGATTTGCGTTGCTAGGAGCAGAGAAGGCATGAATTGAAAGTGTATTTATCACGTAGTTCGAAGAATAGCTGGGAGGATGAGAAGAGGCTTGAGCAATGGGCAGAACCAAAGATGAGCAAAAGCCTGAGAGAATTCTCTAATGCTGTGTCTTCAAGGTCCTTGGCCAGTGAACGTATCTCACAGCCTGGATTGCATGCCATGTCATAACTTCCAGGGACCTGGGAAGCAAGAGCCTGGCATTTCCCAGCTTCTATGTTGGGAATTGGCTCTGACTCTCTCTATGGCTTATGATATGGGAATTCCCCCAAAGATGAAAAGAGCTTCACAAATTGTGCAGCCAAAAAATATGGAAGAGTCTGCTACATTTCCACCTGGACATATCCCTAGGGTTGGGCATTCTGAATTTCTTCTCTCCTTTGACTTTTTGCCATAGCTGCTTTGACAGTCCTCAACACTTAGTGAACACAACCACTGCCTATCATCGTCCCAGGCAGTTGAAAGCCATGGAGGACAATTGATCAAAAAGTCTTCTATCTATTCCCAGTAAACCCCCAATTAGTACAATGGTTCATCCCTAACCCCTACCTCACCCCATAGATACTTAATTCTATACATGTATCCAGAGAAATGTGACCCAGGAGATTCTGATGCATATTTCTGATTAAGAATCATGTCTTAGTTTTCCCCATATGCCACAGTATCTTTACAAACCATTTCTATTTTTCTGAAATAGAAATAGAGTCCCATCTATCTCAACCAAAGGCACTTCATCAGCTGAGAAAACTAGGCTTCTGATATATGCTCATTCAACTTCTCTCTCCTTCAACTAAAATGTCTTCACTTTTATTCATTCCATCTTTTGTCCTCTTTCATTTTCCCTTCTTTCCAAGGCTAACCTGGCCACCAGGGCTTGTCTGAATGCCCTCTGATCTAATCTGAGACCTATCACTTATCTTCCCTTTTGACTGTGTCTTTGGTCTCACTTCCCTGATACCTAATTCCCTTTGACTCTGAAACATTCAAGTCTCACCTCACCTAACAACCCTCTAACTTGCCTTTGCTTCCCATAGACCACCTCCAGTTCTTCCCAACACCTTCATCTTCCATATCCAAAGACCTCAAAGGAGTGTTTTGTACTCAAGGACGTGCCTTTCCCACCTCTCATTCATTCTCAGCTCTCTGTCACTGCTTACAGGCTCACCCTGTACACACACAGCTCTTTCCACATCACCCATGGCTTCCCAGCTGCCCAAGGCTCTTCTTAGTCTGCATCATTTTTTTTTTAAACCTCCCCAAACCATCTGACCCTGTTGAAAAGCCTTTTTTTCCCATTGTGATTTTTCATAGAAACATCCATCTTGATTTTTTTCCTTCTCATCCTCAGATGACACTTCCTCAGCCTCCTTTGCTAGGCTTTCTCTTCTTGTTGTTTGTTCTGTTTTCTCACTCTGGGCATTCACATTTCTTTAGCTAGAACCACAACGTAGATGACAGCCAGATGTATGTTCCCAATCCTGATTCTTCTATCTTGAGATGCAAAGCTTTCAAACTGGTCACTTCCAAAGGTGCCTAAGCCTTTTGCTTAGGCATCTCACCTTCCATCATGCCTTTTAAAAATTTATCATAGTAAAATATACATAACATAAAACTGATCATTTAAGAGTATGGTTCAGTGACATTAGGTCCATCACATCATTGTGTTCTTCTAATTCCTTTTTAATATCTGTATCACTGGAGGGGAAAGGACCACTTATTCACCACTGAGGCTTGCCTCCCCTTCGAATGACTGGCTGAGCCTGCTGCCTGGTGGTTATGAATGTGGTCTCTGGAGGGTCTGATCTGAGCTGAAATCCCAGCTCCATGACTCTGACTGAGTCCTTCTACCTCTCTGGTCTCACTTCGCTCATCTTGTTATTCTCTGCTCTAGCTGGGTACACAGTCACTCTGCTGAATAACAGCTTTGTATATCTGTGAGAAAACACCCTCAAAAGACTTGTCCTCCGGAGCTGGCGCTGGAAGTAAAGAGAAAATGCAGCGTTTGAAGAAAGTGATGGGTCTTAGCCAGAAAGAAGTTCTGGATATACTGGAGAGGGATGTCAAATCTGGTGTTGGCTTGGATTTATGACCCAAACAGCTCCACTGATGAAAAGAAAGGGAAATCAATCAATCAGTTAAACTGTTTCAGTCTTTGGGCAGAGTAGTAATTGCTCTTCAAGTGACAGGTGAAACCTCCCTGAACGTTGAAAAGTTGATTTAGTAGAAATTGTAAGAATTTTCCCAGGATAGAGGTAATTTAGAGAAATTTGATGTGCATACCTTTAAAAATGCCTTAAGTCTTGCTTGGATCAAGCACCTGAGTAGGTCACGTTGGTTTCTCCCCCATCCTTCCCCCCTCATGCTTATTTCATTTAATGGAAGAGAGTTTGCTTATGAATGTTGGAAATTCTAGCGGCCTCCTCCTGGATGGTAAGAGGTATTTTGTTTGTTTTTACCTTTTATTTCCGTTTAGACTGGATCTTCTCCATCTCTCGTATCCAGCCCAGGGCCTGGCATAAAGGATGCACTTTAGTACTATCTCCTGTTTTAGTAAACTGAAAATGGAAGTGACTCAGCTATGTCCGAGTCTTTGGGACCCGGTGGACTATACCGTCCACGGAATTCTCCAGGCCAGAATACTGGAGTGGGTAGCCATTCCCTTCTCCAGGGGTTCTTCCCAATCCAGGGGTCGAACCCAGGTCTCCCGTTTTAGTAAAGAAGAGGTAAAATATTGTAGTGACCAGATCCTACTTTTCCTTTCAGAGACTGAGTATAGAAGTAACAATTCTCCCCCGTGTCAGCCCAGAACATTGCAGGATAATGTTAAGAACAGATTGCCCTTTACAAAGCACGTTTATATACTTTATCTCATTCAGCACTTCCCTTTTCAGATGAGGAAACTGAGGTTCAGAGTGATTAAGTGACTTGCCCAAGGCTTTACAGCTAGTAAATGGTCAAACCTGGCCAGCGGAGCACCTGTAACTACAAAATCTGCACCTACAAACTCGCGGTTGTCTTTCTAACCCACATTTGACCCCACGGAGGGATGGCCTATGTTCAGCTGTACGCTGTCCTTGGCCAACTTGACCGCTGAGGATCCTGCCATCTGAGGCATGTGGGCGAGGCAGCCCTTCCCAGTGGGAAATGTCCCCCGTGTGGAGTTCAGGTTTTTGGCACAAGCCAGAAGGCAGGACGTGCTGGGGCCCGGCTTTCTACCTGAGGCTTTGGGGCTGGCTTCTGCAGGTCCCCAGTGAGCACGTGTCCACCTGGGCGCACCAACCCTGCGCCCTAGCTGCTCCCGTGCGCCCCGGGTGCCCACCCGCACGCGCGGTGCCTGGCCGCCCCCGGGGTAGCCCCCACTCCCTGCGGCTACAGCCCGGATGGCTCCCGCCCGCCTAGAGCCGCCCGGGGGCCGTGGCCGCGGACCCCCCACACCCCAGGGGCGGAGCGAGGCGCGGAGACGTCAGGGCGGAGAACGAGCGCGGGACGAGCGCGCCCTCCCGGCGGCTGCCCGCGGCCGGAGCCACCCCCGGAGCAGATCCCCGGCCGCCCGTAGGCTTTCCCTGGGGTTCCAGGAGCTCCCCCCGGGGTGCCCATCAATTTCCTGGGGTGACTACAGCGTGTGTTTTGTTTTTCTTTCTTCTTTCGCTCGCTGTGTGCCCTTCTCCAGGATGGCAGAGGCGGAATTGCACAAGGAAAGGCTGCAAGCCATAGCAGTAAGTCCACTTTCATTTTATTTTCTTGCTCTATTGTCTGGGACGGGAAAGGACCCCAGTACTGCGGGGCCGTCGACGTTCCAGCACAGTAGCCACGGGACATGTGTTTTGGGGGATAAAAGTCTGTCAAGGCTCAGCTACGCTGCGTTTTATTTTATAGTCTGTAGATGGAAAGCCCCAGGGCGCGCTTTGGGCTGGGGATTTGAATGTGGAAGATTGGCTTAGAAATAAGATGCTTGCTACTGGGCTTTGGGGAAAGACGAAAGAGAACCGTGGGGTGAGAGGGGGGACAATTCCTAGAAGGTTACCACCCAGTGCTCACTAATACTTTGACTTCAGATGCTGGAGAAGGCGGGAACGGTCACCAAAAACCATGACTTCCACGCTCTTTGCGGAAGCTGTTGGTCTGCTAAGTGAAAAACCAGCAGTCCATTCCGCTGCCAGCCACGCGGTAAAACCTCCTCCCTGAAACCGAGAGTATTCATTTTCCCTGTTCTGTTTGAAATTGACAAGGGCACTGGCGCAAAGCCACCACCTTGGGTGAGAGGAAGGTCTGGGGACTTCTTGGAACAACTGGGTCCTGGGAATAATATTCCAAGAGAGCCTTCTTCTTATGTGTGGTTCCTCAACCTATTTTCAGCATACAAAGGAACAACCAGTTTGATCAAAGTTTATGCGCACTCTCAGAAAAGTGTACCCATGTGCATCTTGAGTTTAAAAGAGAGCTCTCCAAGGCTGCCTAAATTTGAGTGGTCCTGCCCCAGTGTTGCCAATGATCCACAGATGTGGTATTGTTACTACAGCCACCACAGCTGGATTATATATTTCTTTAGCAGATGAAGGAATGATTACTGCTGCTCTATGAAATAATAGCAATTAAAAGAGAAGCTCTGTTAACATATTGGCATAAAAGAATCTCCACACATTCTTCTACCTAAGTAAAAAAAAAAATTTTTTTTTTGGTCCAGGAGTTCCCTGGAAACACACATGAATTTGTTGGAGAAACAGCATGTAATGTTTTGGAAGCAAAGTATATTAAAATGTTTTCAAAATCCTTTGGACGGATTCTTCACTGGGAAATGCACACAGGCTCTTCTTTTTCTTTTTAAAGATGCATTTGATGTGGTCTCTGTGGCTCTGAGACCCTCTTTATCAAAGTCTTCTAATCTTAAATGTCTTGGAGACTTCACAGCTGAAGCGAGAAAGACGTTTGTTGGCATTGTTGACTGCTATGGCTTTTTTTGTCTGTTGGGCAATCTTTGAACTTGGTGATCAGAACTCAGGAACGCTTCCCCCCCTCCCGCCCCACCTTTTTTTCCTTTCCCTCTGAGCGTGTGTATTTTGATGGTTAGTGAAATTGTTTCCTAGAGTTTGTGCCCAGGCAGTGTGACCAGTATGTCATGAACTGGGTAAGAATGGAGATATTCAGTTCTCGGTGCCATGTAGCTGGTGGATGTTTTATATAAACTGAATAATAGGCTGCTTTAACTGTCCCTGTAGTGGCTGCTCCAGAGAGCATTCCATTGCTCCCATCAGTGGCCGCTGAAGCTTTCCAACAGTTGTCACATTTTCTGCCTTTGCATGACCAGCTTGTCTGGATGCCTGAGGAACAGCTGGGCCTCATGAAAGGGCTCGCTTTCCGAACAGAGAGCCAGTAGCAGCTCACACTTGGGCCACCCTTTTCCACGTGAGGCTGGGTCATTCCCAGCAGAGGCTAAATGGAGTTTTGAGAAGGATCTAGCCAGCCTTCTGGGATTCTTATGCCCATGCAGTTGTGGAATTGAGTTTGTCCTGTACTTGGGAAACTGTTAATGATTCTCATGAATGATTCTGCCTCAATGAACATATCTTAGTGCAGATTTTCTAACAGCAAATTAACTCTGTGTGGGGGGGGTGGGAATTGAGAGAGGCGGTGGAGGCTATTCTGTACCCTGCTTTGACCTAATGCATACTCTCCAAATTTTGCAAACCCTGAGTCTGTCTGCCACCTTTCTAGGGCTCTCAGGGGACCCTGAGGAGCTCATAAGCCTGCTCCCAGAGCCTAGTCCTCCTGAAGTCTCTCTGGAGATGTGAGAGACTCTCTATCTCTTCACCAATTTGGGCTCCTCTCCAAGAGGAGATTCTCATCTGTAGGTTCTTAGACACTCTGCAATCTACGCCTTGGTCCCTTCATCTGTAAAGAGGGCTCATGAGTTCTGCTCCAGGGGCTGGCTGTAAGGTTTAGATATGGTACAGGTGAAGGGCCTGGCATGCAGGGGCCAGCCGATGATCTTCAGCCAGAGCCCCCCATTCCTGTCTGTCCTGCTGCCTCGTCCTGTGAGGGCGAGAGGCAACATCTCTGAAACAGAGTCTGAACGGCCTTCTGTATCCTCTCCTTTACTCAACTGAAGGCCAGGGCTTGGCCCAGCATCAGTTCCACCAGCTGCTCAGACCCAGATACAGTGATATGACTGGAGGATCCAGCCATCCAGCAGATTATTTACAAAGGGTCGCCTCTCGGAAGAAAGGGGCAACACCAAAAAGTCAGTGTCCCTAAGTTTCAGCCATCAGAGGGAAGACTTTACTCTTTGCACGCTCAAGTTCTGAAAAGGACCGATGTCCTGTGACCTATGTCACATGATCATTGACAGGATTCCCCCTGCCAACTCCAGGGAATGAAATACTCAGAAACTATAGTGCTTTAATTGAATCTTCCAGTTGAGTCCAGAGACTAATCAATGAGAAAAGATGAATCTCATCCTATTTCCTGCCAAAAGAGGAGCAAATCTTGACAAGTCTCTCTACTCCCAGGCTCTCATTCCATCAGTAGGGATGTTCCCAAAGCTGTAATTTTAGGAGAAAGCAAAATAATTCTGAGGCAGGATGAATGTGGGTTGTCATTCCAGGGAATAGTAATACAATTGCCACTTATTGACCATCTATTCAGCAAGGCCCTGTGTGTCATGGTTCTTTCCTTAACCTCAAGTTAATGGTTTAACATAAACAATTACTAGCCAGTGGAAGGAGTCCTTATGCAAATAAGCACACAGGTGGAGCAGGTAAACCAAGGAACTATAGAACACTTACCCAGAGAGATGTTTGAGCGGGTTTTGGAGATTTGGTATAATAAAATATAAAATAACACAAATACTTCCCCATGAACAGAGGAATTTATTTACTTGTTTGTTGTTAGTTTATCATTTATTTGAAACAGTAGAAGAAAGGGAAAGCCAACCACATGAAGTTAAATCAGTAGCCGAAGGCACCAACTCAGTAATAAGATTCAAGTGCATTTTTAACACAGATGATGTCATTTAATCCTGATGAGCTGATGGGGGAGGAATATCTAGATTATCCATGTTTTAAAGAGCCCAATACAGAGAGTGTCAAAGCCAGGATCAGAACCCAAATTGCAGGGCCCTGGAGCCTGTTTATTGACCACTGCCCAGAAATGCACCCCCCAAGATGGTGGCAGCATCTTGAGCTCCTCCCATGAACTCACTGTGTGGGTAGTTTTGGCAGCCCCTGTGCAAGCGGATGAGGGAGAAGCAGACTGATTCAGTAGCATCGGGAAAGGCTGAGACAAACCAGGAGGCCACATCCTTTTGAGAGTCTTCCAGCGCATGGAAATACCCGGTGGAAGCTCTAACCAAGTGAGTAACCCATTCCCTTGGGGAAGAACCCACAGCGTCTCAGTACAAACCAGTTTTCGGGGGAGGATGTTGTTATGTCTGCACGTCACAAGAAGAGGCTCTTTCTTGGGCTCAGGTGAAGATAACTGAATGTTTCAGAGATTGTCTTGAGCGAAAACCCTCAGAGAGGTCTCAGGCCTCATGTGCTGAGGTGGCGCTAGTGGTCAAGAACCCACCTGCCAACGCAGGAAACGTAAGAGATTCAGGTTCAATCCTTGGTTCAGGAAGATGCCCTGGAGGAGGGCATGGCAACCCACTCCAGTATCCTTGCCTGGAGAATCTCATGGACAGAGGAACATGGCGAGCTATAGTCCATAGGGTCACAAAGAGTCAGACACGACTGAAGCGACTTAGCACACTCAGGAGATGCCAATCCAACCTACACTGTCTTTTTAGGGTATTTGGTCGCTTATTAAGAACTCAAACTCTGGAATAATAAAAACCATCTTTGGCATTTGGGTAGCACTTTACAATTTACAAAACCCTGCATGTGTTACCTTAATTCTGACCTGTGCTAGGCAGGGCTCATTGTCTGCACTTTACAGTAGAGTATTCAGCAGTGTCTGGGCTCACACAGTGACAAGTGGAAGGGTTGTATCTCTCTCTCCTGACTCCTGATTCCTAGTATTGGTGGCGTGTCTAGCTTTGGGCAGGGGGGTGCTCTGCTCTGGGTGAGAGCTGCCTCTAGGATCCTTCAACTGGGGGCAGGGGACGGAGGAGAGGGGGTGAGCTTTGGGGTATGTGGGCCTGGATGTGCCTCTGTGGAATCTGCCCTTTGGGGATTTCACTTTGGGCCCCTCTCCCTCTTAAAACCCTCCCCCAGGGGATACAGTTAGTGGCCTGTGGCCTCCACCTGCTCCCATGTTCTGTCCTGAGAAGGCCTGGATGTAGGTGGGTGGCTTAGTCTGGCTCTGCCCTGTACTTGCAAAGAGACAAGGCATTTCCTTGGCTTCATCTCTCAATGTCATTCTTGCCTGAGCCTCTGAGCAGTTGGAATGTGGACCAAAGGCTCAGGAAACCAGTCAGCCTGCTCTGACCCAGGCCACTTGGGTTGGCCTACCTGGCTTGGGTAGAAATCCTGGCTGCCGTTCACATGTAATCCATCCAGTCCAGGGTAGAAATCCTGGCTGCCGTTCACATGTAATCCATCCAGTCCAGCCTAGCTTCCCAGGTCAGGGGTCCCTCAGAGGTTCTAGAGACTCAAATCCAAGACTTACAGTAACACAAACTGTGGTTCTTGGGGAGACCACCCCTATACATGTCCTCTGTGAACCTCTGTCATTGGCAGGCAGCTGGTAAAAGGATGGGAGACTTGAAGATGCCAGCCAT